TTCTGGCGCTACTGCGCAACACAGTCCAATCGGCGACGGCGTGGCTTGCCGCAGTGCACACGTATTGCGACGCCATGTGATCGTTCAAGTAGTGCTCATGTGCGCGTTTCATTCTGCCACGCCGCAAGTGTTGTCCCCCTCGTTCTTTCCGCCCCGCTCGTCCTCCCGCTTCGTCTTCCTCTCTCGCTCCTCCCTCGCCTCTGTCGTCGTCGTTGTCGTCGTCGTGATCGTCGTCATCGTAGTCCCGCAGCAGTGCGGCTGGCAGCGCGATCTACACGTGTATCTCACCTTTCGCCATACGGCCAATGCACCTCTGACGTGCACGGCTTTATTCTTACCATCATTATTATTCGTATCATTACTAAGATTTGTATTAGTATTACCCATTATCATTATTCATATTCTGGGGCCCTGCCCGACTGCTGCGCCCGAATGGGTGCTGCACTCGTCTGGCTGACAAGGGCTTGACCCTTCCTTCGTGGAGTGCCAATCCGATCCGATCCTCCTCCTCTTCCTCCCTCAATCCGTCCATCTACCCACCCACCCAGACGCCAAATAGACACCGACACCGCTCCTGACCGGGCTCACCACAAGCCAAAGATCGGCGCATGCGCCCTCCTGGCCTGGCCAGGCAGACGCATACACCGATCAGGAGCCCTCGATGGGACTGGCGAGGATCGGCGTCGGTACATAATTAGCTGGCACCCCGAAAGAAGATTCTCAAGAAGAATGAGAACCAAGAATGCGAAACATGTAAAGAGCCGGATGACTCTGGCCAGTCTCGCCGTGCGCTGGGGTGCATCGTAAGCGCTGGTCGGTTATTCTTCGGGACGTCCGCTGGCACAGTCGTGCGCGTGCTAAGTGGAAAGCACGATCCAAACCAGCTGCAGTTGCAGTAAACGCTGGCCTAGTATTCCAAACCAGCTGCAGTTCGAGCACTCGCTTATTATTCACACTACAAGGGCCCAGCCTCTGCCTTCCCTTTCTTCTCTCAAACAATTGTCCTTGTCCTCCTCCTCCTCATTCATTCATGTTTGCGTCCTTCACTGGGCATGTATCACAATCATCACCACAACCACCACCTTCATGATCACCACCACTTCGGATGTGGCCCTCATTTCCCGCGCTGTCCCTCTCCAGCACAGACCCCAACGAGGCTCCAGCGGACATGGCCGCATGCGGGGTCCAGGTCCATTCGGGCTAAAAGTCACGCACTTCCCAGTTCCCACAGGGCGCCCCGCAAGCGGTGTAGTGGCCACGGCCACCTACAGGGTCCAGAGCCAGTCGGCTTTCACCTCACGAGCTCTCCTACCCCCTGAGGGAGCTTCGAAGGGCTTCAGTAGCCACTGCCGCATACAGGGGCCGCATCAACGTGGAGCATCCAGCACACGCCTTCCATACCACATGAGACGCCTCAGCGAGATCCCAACGGGCACAACCGCATGCAGGGTCCGAACCGATCCGGGCAATCCTTTTGCATCACCTCCTATCCCGCCGAGATCGCCCGCAGAGCTGCCCGGAGACGTCCCCTGGAGGCCCCCACGATGGGCCCCAGAGGCCCCAGAATAGTCCCAAGATTGCCCAGCCCGTCCCAGAGGGTGGAGGGCGGGTCGGGCGCGGCGGCAGCTCTGTCGTCGGGGGCGCCGGAGAGGAGAAGGAGGAGGAGGAGGAGGAGGAGGAGAAGGAGGAGGAGGAGGAGGAGGAGGAATGCCCCAGAGTGCCCCAGGAGGCCCCCGAGAGTGCCCCCCCAGCGTGGCCACAGGGTGGCTCAGCTCGCAGGCGGCGGGGCGGCGGCGGAGGGCGCATACCCTGCGGCGGAGGGCTCCCCGGCGCTCCTGGCTCCGCCGAGGACATGGCGCCGCCCCGGCGCGGGCACACCCTGGCGGCGGGCGGCGCTGCCTTGGTCGCGTACGCCAAAGGGCTGCATCCCCAACGCAATCGCGGTGGACAAGGAGGCAGGAATCACGACGTCGCCCTCGTGCGCTCCACGTGTGTGCCGACGGGTCGCCGGAGGGAGCCGTGGCGGTGCACGGCACAGCGCCGCACAGCAGAGCGGATGCCCGGCGTGGCAGAGCATCGGCCCTGCCACGGCGGAGCTCGGCGAGGCACAGCAGTGCGACGCAACGATCTGCAGTCTGCACGAGGGGCCCGCACGCGGGTCGCGAGGATCTGGCCTGCAAGGAAGCACCAAACAGCACCAAACAACAGGAAGGCCTGCGAGTACCTGCATCCGAGCCGAAAGGGGCGATGGATATGAGCAAGATAGGAGGAAAGTAGGGGGATTCACACACACCCCCCGTCCCGATCCCGCCCGATGCCCACGCACAAAGGCGAAAGGCACCGAAGCGGGGATCGGGATAGGAGAGTGAATCTCTACTGAACTCCTGTCTGCAATCCACTGCTTCAGCCCAGGAAGGAAAGAAAGGACAGCCAAAACTCTGTCGTAAGGTTCGCACCCAACGGCGGCGCTAACCCGCAAACAAAGTTTTACAGCGCCTGCCGCCGAGATAGAACCCAGGACAGTGCTGTGGGCTGGAGAGAAGTGGAATGGAGAGACTGAGCTCTTATGACACCGACCCACACGGTCGGTGCCCGAAGCAACACATGATATGAATGCAACGATGTGTGCAATGAGCCAGATCCAATCCAAAGCAAAACGCAAAACATTGAGATATGAGGAGTAGAGTGCATGCGCAAGTTCCAAGAAAATCTTGTACGTCTTGCACCAGTAATGAAGAATCAAGTGTATTTATGCAATTATGTTTTTTTCACATGTTTTTGCAATTGTGCATTTTCAACAGTACATGCTAGACAATCATATTTGTGGCTCTTTAGGCCGTTTTGTCAAGACTGCAATCGATAATAAGGTTGTCACCTGCTCTACTATCGCGAAGCTAACGTCCCAGAGATAACGCACAAAACTTATGCCATCGCTCCAACCAAATTCTCGGCGTCGGCTGCAAGAAATGGTGAGTAGGCTGGTTGCGGTACCTTTTCATATACAGCTGGGCCTGTCCATGGTGACAAGTATGGTTTTGATATTGACCAAGATGTGAGAGGCACGTCAAAAGTCAGAAGAAATTCGGAAGCCATCAAAATTGTATGCAGATGTCATCCTCCATCATGATGTGGTGCTGGTATGCTCTGATGTCCATGAGGTACAACTGCCGAGCCTGCGTAATCAGCGGCGGCAGAACCAGCGGCACGCCATGGGGGCGCCATAGGAGGCGGAACCATGGCTCGAGGACGCGCCAGATGATGTACCGTAAGGGGAGTTGTGGTGTGTAGGGGGGGCAGGGTCGGCCTCCGTTCCCCTTTTCGACGTGCCCTTCGTTGCGCCGTACTCGCTGCGGTTGCCCGCTGCAATTTCGGCGTCCAGATGGGCAGCACCCCTTATGACATCTGTTATGTAGTCAGACCACGCGCGATCGGCGCTCGGGAGAGCGACGGCGTCTCTGGTCTCCGGACCGAGAGTGGGCGAATGGAAGCCGAGGCCAGGATCCAGCGATCGATCCGCGTCCGATCGGCGATCGGGGTCCCAATCGACCGGCTGATCGGGCTGGTCGGCGGTGGCTGAGCTCGCGGCTACCTGCTGTCGAGGGAGGACACAAAAACAACCTGAACGCGAGGGAGGCGTCTGCCTCTTCAGCACAGGGGGGTCCGAACTAAGAGCCGGGGTCTTGATTTTGACCGTCTGTCGAAAGAACAACGGCTTAGCCAGAGCCAGCGGGCTCCTGCTTCGGGATTTCTTCAGCCGAATCGGATCCGGAGAGTCCTGGGAGCGGGAAGATTTTCCGTGCCGGGTCGTTCCTGGAGAGTCCCGTGTTCCGCGCCGCGGGGGCAGGGGAGGTGGGTTTCTCTTCCTGTGTCCAGATCCTCTGGGCGCTCTGGTGTCCAGATGCTCTGATGGAGCAGCAGCCGGGCGTGTCCTTGAAGACGTAACAGAAGCATGCGGCTTTTGAGCCGGAGCTGAGTCATCTCCTTGCCGTGGCTGGTCCTTCGTGGCGCCGCAGCACGGACAGTGCCCCCCCGGATTCGGTGGAGGCGGAAACACTAACTCCATGTTATCGGCGTCAACGTGTGGTATGTAGTCGCGAACAGGGGCCTTCCGTGATGGTCCACCATCAGGTGGTGAGAGAACACACCCATCTTTTCTGCTCCAATGGATGGTCCAATCCTCATCCTCGACGAGACGACCCATGGAAATAACAGACGGACAACCTTTGAGAGCCAAAGAACCTGTGTGCAAGTTAATGGAAGGCACAGAAACATTGATGTGCTCATTAACAACTCGATCGCCGTTTGCTGTTTCCAATACGTATTCATGTCCACGACGAATACCACATGTTTCAGCTTGAGTCAAATCGTCCTTGTCCGTGATGTGGTGCGCAGAACCACTATCCAAGACCCAAGACCGTGCGAGAACCGCGGGGGACTTTGCTGCAGTTTCCTGCTGCATGGTCCCTGCTGCAGTTCCCTGCTGCACTAGCCCTGCTGCAATTCCTTGCTGCACTGCCCCGGCTGGGACAAGCGGCATGCAGGTGTCGAGGTCGTCGTCCAGGCGCTCGGTCAAACGGATGGCGTTCTCGATTGCCTCCTGGAGCGCATCCGCGGAGGTCTGCAGCCAGTGGTCCGGAAGAACATCAGGAACGTGGACCACATATCCCTGGTTAGGGGAAGTACGGTGTCGACGCATTTTGGTCTGAACAGGGAAGTAGTGAATCTCTGTGGCTGCAAAGTTCCATTGCAAGCCTTTCGGCGTCTGAGTCTTTCTGCCAGGGACTGCAGCGAGAGCGAAGGATCGTGGACGACAGACGTCAACTTGAGGTCGAAGACAGCCGGGAGGCCGATCACAAGGGCTCGGGTCGTGATCATTGCTTTGGCTGCTGCGGCGTCGGTCGCGGGAGGGGGAGCGCCGTAGTCGACAGGAGTCGTAACAGCGCGTGCCCCCCGGACTGTTGGACACTCGCGTGCTGTGTCCAAACTGGGGGCCTGGCGAGGCACCAGGCAGGGCGCCAGGCTCGGCGCCGGATTGGGAGCCGGGCTCGGAGCCGAGAAAGGTGCTGCGCTCAGAACAGCCGGGTTGGGGACCGGACTCGGAGCGGGACTGGGAGCCGGCAAAGGCGCCGGTCAGGGCGCCGGGCTCGGAGCTGGTCTGGGGGCCGTGCTCGGAGCCGGCCTGGCAGCCGGCGCGGGTGCCGGTCAGGGCGCCGGGCTCGGAGCTGGTCTGGGAGCCGTGCTCGGAGCCGGGGGGGGCGCCGCCAGGCAGCAGTGCGCCAGGTGGGGAACCGGGCTGGGAGCCGGCCTGGGAGCCGGCAAAGGCGCCGGTCAGGGCGCCGGGCGGCGAGCCGGGCTGGGGGTTACGCTCGGGGCCGGCCTGGGAGCCGGCGCGGGTGCCGGTCAGGGCGCCGTGTTTGGAGCGTATGACGTACACTCGGTTCCAGGGAGCGGCAGGTGACCGGGCCCTCGAGCTCGTGCTGCTCCGCTGGCTGGTACGGTCTGAGTCGCGAGAAGGTCGACGTCCGCGCTGGGAGTCGTCGTGGAGCGTGCCTTCCTGACTCTCATACCCGTCTTGGTTGGGAGCGGGCCGAGATCGCCAGTTATCCCAGGTCTGAGATTGGGAGGCGTCACGAGGAGGCTGCTGAGATCCCCCCGGACTCCTGGACGAACGGTGGTTTCGACCAGATTTCGGTCCACGCGAGGGGGGGCGGCCACGGCTGTCCTGACTCCGCGGGCGGCTGGTGCTCTGTGGCGGAGTCGCAGCGTTGGCTGCCAGGTGTGCGTAGGTGCACGCGTCGCCCTTGGCGCAGTGGCCTGCCTGGAAGTAGCTGCAGGCGGGCACGTGGGGGTAGCGGCAGCGGTCGCCGTACGAACAGGTACCAGTTTTGGCGAATCTGTGGCAGAAACGCGCGGCGCCGCCGTGAGGCTGCTGCGAGCCGGGTGGCTGGGCAGAACGCTGGGGCTGGCGAGAGTTCTCGCTGTGAGGGGCGCCAGTGTCAGGGCGGCTGCGGGAGTCCACCATGTGCAGGAGCTTGCACGCGTTTCCCTTGGGGCATTTGCCCTTGCTGAAGGGCACGCAGAAGCCAGTCTTCGGAGAGACGATGGCTGCGGTGTCCCTGTTGCCTGTCCTCAGGTGGTACTGGTTGCGCCGCGTTCGGTGTAGCTCAAGAACAGCTGTGACTCGGTGGTGGAGCCAAGTGTAACAGCGCTCTGGTGCCCCTTTAGGAGCTTTGTTGTACGTGTTCATGTCGTCCTTCATCCAAGGATGCAACTCAATCTGTGTACGGAACAGTGACTCCATAATGTTTGGCGGAGGAAGCTCCCGGAGCTCCAGGAGCAGTTGGTCCCACTCCGTCACGAACCTTTTGAGGTCATCTCCATGCATACGTAGAGTGTTGATTCTTTCGAAATCATGAATCGTATCGTCGGCGTCGGTCACATCGTAATAACGCAAAATCTTCCAGTAGATCTGACGTCCCTTTATCATGCGACCGTGCTTGTGCTCTGTGTTCTCCAGCAATTTGATATCCAGTTTCAATTCGCTGCTGAGAATCGCTTGTAAAGCTTCCGCGAACTTCAGATCCAAACTTGCGAAATCACCGCTGTCCTGTAGATCATCCAGTGTCACACCGGGCTGTTCTGCAACGCAGAAGAACTTGTATGCAGCATCTGGACGCCCAGAGGCACTGCAGAAGGCCTTGCGGACTGCGTGCTGCCACTCAAGAACATGTCCGATTCTGGGAAGACCTGGAACACGCACACGCTCGCTCTCCTTCACCGGTGTGATGGTAGCAACAGGGCTCCCTCCGATGGTGTATTGAGACTGCATGACAGTAGCACCAAGGACGTTGGGCACTGGTGAGTGCGTGCGAAAGCTTGCAGCGTCGAAGTTTGCCTCCTGCGCAGGTGCTGCGGAAGCGGCCGGGGCCGCGGTCCTGCTGGCAGCTGACGGTGACACACGTCGGGCCTGTGGCTGGTAGCCAGCGGCTGGGGTTTCCCCCTGCACACCCCCCGCGTTCGAGGCAGGGGCGCCGGGAGAAGTGCGTCTGGAGGTCGGGGCTTGCGGTGGTACAGGTGTGTGCTGTGTAGCGTCAGCTACGTGGGCCTTGAATTGGTCTTCGAGAATGATGTTGTCACGTTGCAACTGTTCGATGCAGCCTGAGAAACCATCAACATTCCTCTGGACCTCGCGGGTCTTGTCTGTAAGCACGGAATACTGTCGTTGAGTAGACTGGGAAAGGTCTGTAAGAAGAGAACGTAGCTGATCCATGTCGGCCTTTACGCGCGACAGCTCCTGCTGCGTATCCGCCAGGCGGGTCTGCACTTCAGATACCCGTGCCTTTCCAGCATCCCTCTCAGAGCGAAGCTCGTGTAACTGCCTTTGCACGTGGTCCGCCTCCGCACGCACGGTCCGTTGTACGGCTGCCAGTACGGCGGGGTCGTCAACCGAAGAAGGGGGCACCAGCTGGCCAGTCTGGGCCCTTACAACGCGCAGCTCAGTCACGGCCTTTTCGAGAGTCAGGACTCTGGCGGTGAGCTTTGGGATCGAATCAACTTGGGAATCAGAGAAACGCTGGTTGACAGCATTTTCGGCTTGACAAAGTTTGCCGTAGAGATCTTGTTGGACTTGTTGGGTCTCAGCACGAAGATCAGATGTAGCAGACATCGTGGCGTCACGAAGCTCAATAATCTGGCCCTGGAGAGCTGAGGGAGCCGCGCCGGCGCTGGCGGCAGCAACTGCTTGGATTTCATCGTGGAGAAACTTGGCGCGAGTATCATTGTGGTCACGCATATGGATAAAACGTGCTTCCACATGAGAGAACTCGGAGTGCACAGCGGCAAGCTCGGAGTGGTCTTGGCCACGCTGAGCGGCAACAGCATCGACCTTCGAAACGAGTTGACACATGACGTGACGATCCTCGTACAACCTAGCGTCGACTTCCTGCAAACCTTTAGCGAGATCCGATCGCAAGATCGCAGTCTCAGTGGCGGTTGCCTGGTGCACGAGAGCAGTCTGATGCTCCACATACGTCTGTACCTGGTCTCTTAGCTCAGCCATGTCTGTTAGGGGGACGGCGGCAGGCGCAGCCACAGGTGAGCTGACAGCGCGTCTTCGTGCCCTCTGGGAGGGACTGCGGCTGTGCAAATCCTGGGCTGCAATCTGGAACTGTTCGGGGCCACGTCTGTCACGAGGCGAAGCTGCGCGAGAACGAGAAACAGTGACTTGACGACCGGCGAAGGCTGCGCCGTCGCGGGTCTGAGCACGAAACTCGAGGGCGCGGACGTGCTCTCGGACTGGCGTCACGGCACGGGTGACTGGGTTCCGTCCTGGCGCGCCGGCGTTCGCGTGACTCCCGCCCCAGCGGCGAGATCCTCCAGAGCCTCTCTGCACGGGACTTCCCTGTGGAGGCGAAAGAGCCTCCGAGTGGGCCCCCCCAGTAGGGGCCCGAAAAGTCGGGGTCAGATTTTGAGGAGGTTGAGGAGTCTGGAGCTGAGGAACTCCAGGAGCCACAGGGTGTCTCGCTCTGACAGCATTTCTGGGCGGATCATTCCGTGGCACGAGGACCTCAGCGCTCTGAAAGGGATGCTGCGCAGCACCCGAGCTGCGGTCTCCCGCTGCATCCGACACGACGGGCGACGCGACGGGAGGAACGACTGACGACGAGGAAGGGGCCTGGAACTGAGGAGTACCAGGAGCGTGTCCTTGTCCAGCGTCAAGACCCTCAGTACCTGGAGAAATGGCCACACGATCAGCTCGCGGGATGCCATGCACGTCCATCAAAACTTCAATCTCCTGCTCCAAGTTGCGCGCCACGGGGTCCGCCACGCCGTCGCGAAGAGGCGCGGGGCCGAGAGGCGCACCGCCCTCCATCGCGACTGAGTGGGGGGCTCAGGAAGCGCGGAAGTTGGAGCGATTGCGTTTTGAACAGAGAAGGCTGATAACCTGTGTGAGGGGGAGGGGGACCGAAGGACCGAACCCACCCCCAAAGTGTCCGTAGGTAGACGTGATGAGGATGATGGAAGTTGTCCTCTTCACCCTCTGAGTACGAGTACCTGCATCCGAGCCGAAAGGGGCGATGGATATGAGCAAGATAGGAGGAAAGTAGGGGGATTCACACACACACAAAAAAAGCGATACCCCACGAGGCAAGCCTGAGTGGAGAGATGTGGTCAGCACTTGGACTGTACGATGAGGGGCCCACTCTTCACAGAGATCGCGTTTTCATTGAAAGAACATCAGATCAGCCGATCTCAGGGGCACAGAGACGTTGAGGTGCAGCTGATGGGGGACACAACGGGTCGACCCAGCCATCCCTGCTCTGAACACTCGGCAGTCCTGCCGACCTCGACACAGGAAGAATACCGATGCACTCCCAGTGTGAAAGGTGTCAGAGCTGGGCTCGCATATCCTACCACCTGCTCACTTGGAGAACATTGTGCTCGTGCGGTACAACCTTCGCAGCAACTGCGCTCGGTGGTGTCTGGCTGGCAAGGCAACCACGCTCCGAATGTGTTCGGCACCAGAGGTCGGCGGCAGAAGCGGCAGCCCTTAGACAAGCAAATGCACGATGATAAATGGGGCGGGCCTCGGGGTGGGAAGGGAAGCGGCCGGATGCGAGCCTCCAAGAGGATCCACCAGGCCCCCAATCAACTCCCAAGACGCTCACAAAAGTCCCCTGATGGTGCACAAGAAGCCCCTCTTGAATATGGACAAGCGCGTTCCACTACTCGCAAAGTAGCTATTCGCAAATGGCCTGGATCCGCCATGGGGGATTTACGATACATTACATCGATGCAGGCATGTGTCTTTCGGACGTTGGCGATTACGCACTCTGCGAGTAGTGGAACGCGCTCGGTGAGAACAAATGGGGCGGGCCTCGGGGTGGAGAGGTAAGTGGCCGGATACGAACGGCGGGCACGTCGGCAGAGACGGCTGGAGACACAGACCACGCGAGCGTCGCCCCCTGGCTTTCAGACAGATCAAGCACGCGCTAAGGCC